CTACATGAATCCTTTTTTTTCATTGTGTCATATTAAAAGTCATATTATCGTTTAAATCTAATAAAGAAAGGTCATTCCTAATATTTTCTAACCAAGTCTTTTTTGGTCTACCCCTACCTTTCTTAACACAAGTCAAATCTAATACCTTTACTCTCCTAACCGGGTCATCGGAAGGCCGCCTTTTTATGTGACCAAACCATCTAAGGCGACTCTCTCTTATCTTATCTTCTACTGGAGCTACTCCAACCTTTTCACGTATATGCTCATTTTGTATCCTATCTCTAAGGGTAAAGCCACTCATCCACCTGAGCATCCTCATCTCTGCCACACTTAACTTAGTATTATTCTTCTCTTTTAATGGCCAACATTCGGCACCATATTATTGGGTTAATACCCTTCTAAGGGAAATTAGTTTTCTAGTTTCACAATCTCTGATCTTTAGTTGTGATAACTGTGTTGCTTTCCACATTGCTAGCAATATTTTATTTTATGAGAAAACCCAATATATTGATGTTGATTGTTATTTTATACGAGAAGCAGTACTATTGAAGAAGATTGTCACCATATATTCCCAGCTCATTATTACTAGCTGATAGGAAATGCTTGTAGGCATAAGAATTTCCCTTGTTGAATATGAATTTCAGCACTTGCAAAAATAGATTATAGAAAAATTTGGAAGAAATTACTTGAAATAAATATTTTTATTGGTAAAAGATGAAAGCAAATGAACAATATACAATGGATCCTCAATGGGAGAGGTTGATCTGTCTCTCCCACACTCAAGCCGAAGACTAGAGCCCAAGCATACCCTAGGAACTCTCTAAAATTCAGCAAATATCCAACTAATCTTAACCCTAAACAATCTCATCTATTTAAATCATACAAATATGATCCCAATTACCAAACAACCCCTCCCTAAATCAAATCATCCCTAAAACAGCCCTTCCTCTTCAAGCAATGGGCCCCACAAGATCAGTCGCCCCCTCTTTAATCCAATCATGCCTAAATTCACCCCTTCCTCTTCAAACAATGGGCCCCACAAGGGGGCCGGCGGTTGGCTTGGCTGTCTAGAATAACCAGCCCTAGGGTTGGATCAGCCGGTTCTGGTCTAACACTAGCATATATTTTTACCAAAGTTTTTGGTCCACTTGAAATTTTCTAGTTATATTAGAGCTTATTTATATACATGCTCTATCTTGAGGGGAGTGTTGAAAAGTCTATGATTGGAATTAATATTATGAGAAAGTTTTAATTATTTCTATGTTTGATTTTGTCTTTTTAATTGAAGATAACATCTGCTTTTATCACTTGGCTATTGTGACCATCCTATTTATCTTTATGCATTCTTCTCTAGCAATGAAATTTATACAAAGTTTTCCCATTGTTCAACAATTACAATGAAGTTCCTAAACACGTTGACACCTAATGCTATAGATCATAAGAATAAGTTAAGGTAAATTTCTTCAGCGGTTGATATCCCTTAAAACCCTGTACTTTTAATTGGTATGGTGAAAGTGAAACTTATAGAGAAAACGAATAGAAGTAAAATCACTGAAATTCTAATTTCAATTAGTAGAACATTCTCATTTGAAACTTGACCCTACTTGGCCTGGCAGAACTAGGACCATTATCAACTCAATCAAACCTATTAACAATGCAACAACAACAACAACAACATTAAAAAACAACAACAACAACAACAACAACAACAACAACATCAAGCCTTTATCCTACTACGTGGGGTCATTTTCATAAATCTTTTTCTTCATTGTGTCATGTTAAGAGTCAAATTCTCATTTAAATCTAATAAAAAAAGTTCATTTCTAATATTTTTAACCAAGTCTTTTTAAGTTTACCTCAACTTTTCTTAAGATAAGCCAAATCTAATACATCTACTCTCCTAACCAGGTCATCGGAAGGCCGCCATTTTATGTGACCAAACCATCTATGTTGACTCTCTCTAATCTTATCTTCCATTGGAGTTACTCCAACCTTTTCACGTATATGCTTGTTTTATATACTGTCTCTAAGAGTTAAACCACTCAGCCACCTGAGCATCCTCATCTTTGCAATGCTTAACTTAATATTATGCTTCTATTTTAATGACCAACATTCTGCACCATAAAGAATTGCAGGTCTAACCACCATCCTATAGAATTTTCTATTAAGTGTGAGGGGGACTTTTCTATCTCATAACAAGCCCGACGCATTCCTCCACTTCAACCATCCAACTTGAATTCTACTAATAATATCTCCTTCTATTTCACCATCACTTTGAACAATAGACCCAATATATTTAAAATGTGTACTCTTATTAATGACTTGATTACCCAAAAGCCACAATCCCCCACTAGATCTATTAATACTATAAGTACACTCAATATATTTGGTTTTAGATCTGCTCATACTAAAACTTTTAGACTTTGAGATTGATCTCCATAATTCAAGCTTACCTTCAACTCCCTCCTAGTCTTATCAACAAGAAGAATATCATCGAAAAAAAGCATACATCAGGGTAAAACCTCTTGCAAATATCTAGTGAGAACTTCCCTGACTAAAACAAAAAGATATGGGCTTAAGGCTTATCCTTGATGTAATCCAACTAAAATAGGAAAATATTTAGTCAAACCACCTTGTATTTGAACACAAGTAACAACTCCTGTATACATATCCTTAATGACTTGAATATAAACATTATTAACCACTTTATTTTCACTAGACATTTGCAAGAGGATGTACCTTGGTGCATGCTTTTTGCTGATGATATTCTTCTTGTTGATAAGACTAGAGAGGGAGTTGAAGGTAAACTTGAATTATGGAGGTCAATTTAGAGTCTTAAAGGTTTTCGCTTGAGTAGATCTAAAATTGAATATATGGAGTGTAATTTTAGTGGAAATAGACTTAGTGAGGGGATTGTGACTTTGGGCGATCAAACCATTAATAAGAGTACACGTTTTAGATATCTTGGATCTATTGTTCAGAGTGATGCTGAAATTGATGGGTATATGATTAGCAGAATTCAAGTTGGATGGTTAAAGTGGAGGAATGCATCGGGCTTATTGTGCGATAGAAAAGTCCCCCTCAAACTTAAGGGAAAATTTTATAAGATGGTGGTGAGACCTGCAATGCTTTATGGTGCCGAATGTTGGCCATTAAAAGAGAAGCATAATACTAAGTTAAGTATTGCAGAGATGAGGATGCTTAGGTGGATGAGTGGCTTAACCCTTAGAGATAGGATATGAAATGAGCATATACGTGAAAAGGTTGGAGTAGCTCCAGTGGAAGATAAGATTAGAGAGAGTCGCCTTAGATGGTTTGGTCACATTAAACGGAGGCCTTCCGATGACCCGGTTAGGAAAGTTGAGGTATTAGATTTGACTTATGTTAAGAAAGGTAGAGATAGACCTAAAAAGACTTGGTTAGAAAATATTAGAAATGATCTTTCTTTATTAGATTTAGATGAGAATTTGACTTTTAACCGGACACAATGGAAAAAAAGGATTCATGTAGCTGACCACACGTAGTTGGGCAAAAGCTTGATGTTGTTGTTGTTGTTGTAGGCTAAATCATTCTTTAGTCCTTGATAAATGTAACACTAGTGTTCTTTATTATGCTGATGAAGTAATCTTACTCGTTAGAAATTCTATGAAACCTGGCCTGTCAAGGCCTAGAGCCCAAACTTAACGAGTTCTATTCATAGAAGGAAATTATTTTTTCCAAGAGTTTACTTGAATTGACCATTGACATTATCATTTCTCTCTTGCAATTTAAGGATCATACCGTTGATGTAGCTGATGCTTCCATACCATTTAGTTGCAGGATGTAAAGTGAAAACAAACTGACTCACTTCTGTTTAAATTCTCCATCACATTTTGCCAAAGTAAACTGAAAATAATTTTTTACTAGATAAATTACTACGCCTACAGTGCTGTTTATGTCATATGCTAATTCCTGACGGCTAGTTGCATGCCAATAATTTAGCACAGCTGCTAGCATCCATGAAGTAATGCATACTCCTTAACAGTGTATGAGCCTGCCATTATTTTTGACACTAGCATGGTATGGTGCAAGATATTATACCAAGTTATTTAGGTTCTAAAATAAAATTATAACTCTCCATGCTATAATTGATCAATATAATGTTGGATTGAAAGGTGGTTGCAGTTGTTGAAAGACGTAACTGCAAGCACAGTGGATTTAGCAGGCAAAATCATTTGGTCAGGTATGCTAGGGTGTTCGATAATAGCATCAAGGCATTCAAAGTAGGGGTGACAGTAGGGTGCTACAAGTTATACCATTATCGTAATTTTTATTTATAATTTTACTATACATCCAGATATAAGAAGTTTTCATTCAAGATCAGTAATTTTACAACATCAAACATGGTTAGGAAAGGCCTCGAAGAACTTCAAACATGATTCCTGTAAACACTTAAAGCTGCATGAATGAACAGAAGGGAATGAGCATATAAAATTTTAGTTTGCCTGAGGCCCCATTTGGCTTAGGTAAGGGCTATAGGAACATTGGATTACTGATATAAATTTGCATTGTTTGGGTTTCAGTGGGAATTATGCTTGAATCAGAGAAAGAACTATGTTCCAGACCACAGATCTAGGTAATGGCCACTTCATCCTCTTGTGATGCGGGGTATTGAAAGCAACGTTGAACAAGGTCCAAGAATTTGCAAACTTGTAGATGATTTCGCTAAAGCTTAGAAAAGGATGCTTTCTATGGATAGGATGTCGAGTAGCATACTGATGCACATGTTCTAAGAGCTCCAATGTCATGGAAAAGACATTGGGGGCCAATGCAAATTCTATAATCTGTTAACTTTATTTCTTTATGATTTACTATTTGTGATTCCTGATTTTTTCCCACTATACCCTTTTTCAATGTATGTTTCTTCCCATGGAAGTTTATTTTTTTTCAACCTCTCAAAAACACAAGCTTGCCAAGCTTTTCTTCCCAATTTAATCAGTTTTATTTGTATTTTTTTGGCAGATTATTGCGTTATTTTACACAATGGAGGATGATCTGGTAGATCTGCTAGAGAATTGGGAACTAACTCCTGCAAGCAATTCCATTTCTCTTGCTATTGTGGGGAAAACAGGTAATGGCAAGAGTGCAACAGGAAACAGTATTCTTGGAAGAGAAGCCTTCATTTCTGATCTTAGTCCATGTGGGGTAACATGTACTTCTGAACTGAAAAGCGCTATTTTTAAGGACGGACGTGCTGTAAATGTTATCGACACTCCTGGTAACTGTATTCTTTGTTTGATTCTGGAAATTTTGTAATACTGCATGGTTATAAGGATATTTTTTTTCTCGGTTTTTGAATAATCTAATAATATTTCCCAGGCTATAAATTGGGTGATGTTATGCTTCTGCCTTAGAACTATCTCATACTAAAAAGGTAGTGGTAGGGTGTGAGAGCTTTGTTGCTGATGTATAGTTTAATTCAAAAGTGTTATGTTTATCACACAGTTAACACTTTCTTGCTATTTCAAATCAGATTGTCATGTGGAATAAAGTCAGAGTGCCAAATGGCACAAAATTAGAACCAAAAAGCTTTTATAAGTTAAGTCTTGGAGGCTCCTCATCAAGAAACTTTGGGCTTCAAGTTTGAGTTGAAGTTTTTTCCTTTCTTGTAAATATTATTAGATTATTGAAAAAGATAGAATTCATGATAAGTTTATCTACAATTGGCAATTATATTGTTGATCGTGTTTTCTATAATATCTCAGAGAATAATATACAATGTCTGTTAAGATGTGCATTCTGATTAATTACAGTAATAACAGCCTTCTGAGGTTTGTAAATCATACATCATCAACAACAACAACAACAACAACATCAAGCCTTTATCCCACTATGTGGGGTCGGCTACATGAATCCTTTTTCTCCATTGTGTCATATTAAAAATCAAATTCTTGTTTAAATCTAATAGAGAAAGATCATTTCTAATATTTTCTAACCAAGTCTTTTTAGGTCTGCCTCTACCTTTCTTAACAGAAGTCAAATCTAATACCTCTACTTTCCTAACCAGGTCATTGGAAGGCCGCCGTTTTATGTGACCAAACCATTTAAGGCGACTATCTCTAATCTTATCTTCTACTAGAGCTACTCCAACCTTTTCACGTATATGCTCATTTCGTATCCTATCTCTAAAGGGTAAAGCTACTCATCCACCTGAGCATCCTCATCTATGCCACACTTAATTTAGTATTATGCTTCTCTTTTAATTTAATGGCCAACATTTGGCACCATAAAACATTGCAGACCTCACCACCATCTTATAGAATTTTCTCTTAAGTTTGAGGGGAACTTATTTATCACACAAGCCTGATGCATTCCTCCACTTCAACTATCCAACTTGAATTCTGCTGATAATATCCCCATCTATTTCACCATCACTTTGAACAATAGATCCAAGATATCTAAAACGTGTTCTCTTATTATTGACTTGATCGCCCAAAGTCACAATCTCCTCACTAGGTCTATTATTACTAAAATTAAACTTCATATATTCCGGTTTAGATCTACTCAAGAGAAAATCTTTATGACTCTAAGGTTGACCTCCATAATTCAAGTTTACCTTCAACTCCCTCTCTAGTCTTATCAACAAGAAGAATATCATCAGCAAAAAGCATACACCAAGGTACATCCTCTTGCAAATATCTAGTGAGAACATCCATGACTAAAGTAAAGAGATATGGGCTTAAAGTTGATCCTTGATGTAACCCAACCGAAATAGGAAAATACTTGGTCAAACCACCTTGTGTTTTAACACAAATAATAGCTCCTTCATACATATCTTTAATGATTTGAATATAAGCATTATTAACTCCTTTCTTTTCAAGAACTCTCCATAGCACTTCTCTTGGAACTTTATCATATGCTTTCTCTAAATCAATAAATATCATATGTAGATCCTCTTTATTTTCTCTATATTTCTCCATCAAACCTCTTAATAAATGTATGACTTCCATAATTGACCTATCTGGCATGAATCCAAATTGATTTTGAGAAATATAGTTGACCTACCTTTGTAAATCATAAAAACAGTAAAATAATTCTTTTATTTTGCCACTGCATTTGTTATCAATATCTTATTTGGGGAAATATTGTCTGGAATCTGGGGTCTAAGTTTCATTGTTACATGTTGGATTTTGGAAGTGACAAAATGTTATTGTGTTTTGCTACATGCCCTTATTCCTAGAGTATTATTTTGTAAAAGGTGTTAAGCATTTCGTTTTTTTTTTCAATGGTAAATCAAGCTTTATTGCTTTAGGTATGATTTTCTTTTCTTAATGCAGTTATACTGCATGGCCTTTCTTAGGATTTTGGCGTTCGTTTGGATAATAGTTCCTTTAGTCAGACTTCGTGAAATCTTGAACTTAATATAAAGCAGGCATATGTTAGATGGTATATGAATTTAGCACATCTACAGTTTTGTGTCCCTTAATAGCTAGTAATGGACTTCTTATCGTTTCCAAAGTCTTTCTGAATGCATTTTTTTGTGAGTTCTGTATTCATTGCTTCACTACTATTTTGTACTGTGGTTTCTTGTGGCTGCATTGATAAATGAAACGATAAACATACCAGTTCAAGCTGAATCCAACTTCTTATCTCCAGGCTTGGTTATTTTCGGGATGGGTTGGCAAGGGCGAGGATGGGCTTGATCAGCTTCATAGACAAGCATCTCCCAGTTGATTTCAGCATCCAAAATCATCCAATACCTTTGCTTTTAGTGTTTCAGTATTATGCGTTGATAGCTTCTAAGGTTTATGAGAATAAGATGATGTTTTTGTGTGTTTATTCTAGTTATAGTTATTATTGTGCCAGGTTGCTGACCAATTATTCGTGCCCAATTTAAATACTACATAAATTGTTTGTTGTACGAATATTGTTTTCATTTATCAGTAATTCTTGTAGATGTGATTTAAGTAACAGTTTTCCAAATATAAATTTCAACAAAACTTTAAGGAGTTTTGTATTTGGGTTGCAATATTTCTTGGAGGAGCACATCTGGTACTTCCAATGAAGTATAAGAAATTTCTTTGAATAGGAACTAGTGTTTTTTTCTACCTGATCGTTTAGATTAAAAGGTAATCTATCTATCTTCTTAACACCAACTGGCTTGTTTTTGATGAATTAAAAAATTGAAAATTTCCATTCTTATTCTACTCAATTTAAAATACCTCTATTTTATTTTGAAAACCGCTCCCCTCACTTCATATTTATTTGGTGGAAGCAATACCGCCTCAGCTATTATTGAGAGGTTTTAACTAGTTTTTTTATTAATTTACACCTCAAACATCGGCCTAATTTCTTTTACTAGTGTATTTAGGCGTTTCAAGAACTGATATCCTTTAGCAATAGTTTAAATGACCTAAATGTCCTTGACTTACCAACACAATGCACCCATTACCTTTTGGATCTAAGCACTCACATTGACTTTACAATTTATGGAGTGTCGTATGGTCAGTACATCTCCTGGATGTGATGTCTTGCATAGAGATTGTAAATGTGAAATTTAAATTTTGAACCAAGGGCATTTTCATCCATGAGTATATATGTGAAAATTTTAGAGCAGCTACAGTGAAAAATAAGATTAAAGAGAGTCATCTTGGATGGTTTTGTCACATAAAATGTTGGCATTCCGATGACCTTATTAGAGACTTGATGTATTAGATCTGAGCTATGTTAAAAATGTAGAAGTAGATCTAAAAAGATTTGGTTAGAAAGTATAACAAAATAACCTTTTTTTTCATTAGAATTAAATGATAAATTGACTCTTAATAGGACACAATGGAGAGAAAAAGATTCATTTAGCCGACCCTAGTAGCGGGATAAAGACTTATTGTTTATTTTTTGTTGTTTGCATTTTCATCCCCAAAATATTAAGCTAACCGTCAAAGGGAAACACCAATATGGACCTATGATGCCGGTAAAGAACAAGGGACATAGTTGGGAGGGTTCAAAAAACAAGGCATCTTTTTGGCTATTTTGCAAATTTACCTGCTTGCTTCAGTTTCCATTTAATCTTTATTGGTACCTTACAATTTTGCTTCTAATTCCTGCATTGTATTTTGGTTTTTCTTTCAATTTTCTTTTATATTGGTCTGCGATAAAGCTTTTACAGCTAGCTGAACTCTTAATTAGGATTATTGTTCTCCCCTTTAGGATTATTTGATTTTTCAACTGGCTCTGAGTTCATTGGTAGAGAGATAGTAAGATGTATAGATCTGGCCAAAGATGGTCTCCATGCTGTACTTATGGTGTTCTCTATCAGTTCCCGCTTTACAAGAGAAGAAGAGGCTGCTATACAGAGTTTGAAAACCCTCTTTGGTGATAAGATTGTTGACTACATGATTGTAGTTTTTACTGGTGGAGATACCCTTGAAGCTAGCCGAAAAACTTTGAAGGATTACATTAGCAGGTGTCCAGAGCCATTGAAGGTTTGTTCATTTAACATTTTTTTTTAATGTTTACTTTGCTGATTAGCTACATAGTGATTGCAAGTTTTACTTTTTCACTTCAAAATAAAATTTTAAGTAGAATTCTGACAACTTGTTTTCATGTTAATTGTTTTAGAGGCTGTGAATTATACATGCAATTATGTTCACATTTTATATGTGCTGCTCTATTTAGTCCTGTGGTCTTTCATTTAATTGTTACTGTCACAATCCGGCCCGAAGGCTCAAATTAATGAGATTGGAGCAGATAGTAGGACGATTAATACATTCTTTCAAACTTAAATTCATAATCAATTATCTATCAACTACATTCCATTCCATATGAAACTGAATAGCCACTAATAAAAATATAAATTGTAAACATAAACATAAGCCAAAATCTTACCTGTTTTCATTCGATCGCCTTCTTCTATATACATATTCATCTCTTTCAGTCATTTCTACTTATCAGGAGACTTGAAAATTTTAATATTATAGTTTGAGTTTATATGGTAAACTCATGGACAATAATCATTGATATATAATATTTAAGCATGTATAAAATTACACATGCATATTCTTTTTATTTTTATTTTTTTTATTACACATGCATATTCTTTTTCAATTTCATTCATTTTTTTCATTTAATATTTATTCTTTTTTCATTTCAATTAGTACATGAGCACCATATAAATGTACCAATAAAGGTACAACCATTTTCATTTACATTTATATTTAATACATAACATTATTTTCCGTCTCTTTCTTCTTCCTCCCTGTCCGTTTCTCTGGTCTGAAACTTTCTCACGTGTTTTGCCCTTACGGGAGTGAGTGAAATGAAGATATTACTTAGGAGGAGTCATTACTTTTCACTCGTGCTCTCGATCCCTCGCTCAAAAATGCGATCCGAACCCGCCAACCCTTGTCTGTGTCCGTGTTCAGCTCACCTGCTCCATCCGTTTGTTCATGTTCGATCATATGTCGCCCTTTGTAGTTAAATAGGGCTGGTTCATTTGAACGGGCAATCCGGTTCTTACAATCTGACAGAGTTAAAGTTTGTGTGCATAAATCTAGCCTTGAACAGTTAAAGGCATGAGTTGAATTTAAGTTATGTGAAGATGCTGTATTTATTTCGGGATTTCTTCCCTATTGATATGTATTTCAGTGGGTTCAGAGTCATAAATTTCTATACATAATCTCATGTTTGAAAAAGATCAAATATAGTTCCTTAACAATTTTGCATGTGTTAAATTCTACAAGCCATTCACCATTGTCAAGAGCAAGGTTGTGAAAACCGAACCGGACAACGGAACCGCCGGTTCAGTCCGGTTCAGGCCGGTTCTCTGCGAAGCCGGTTTTTGAGCTGGACCGGATCGGACAACTGGCCGGTTCACGGTTGAACCGGTTGAACCGGCCGGTCCGGTCCGGTTTTTAAAACCTGGGTCAAGAGTGATAGTTTTTTGTAATTAATTGGAAATGAGGTATTATTTTTTTATAATAATTGTAACTACATTTTGAATATTGGAACATGTAAGTAGATTTTATATAATTTTTTTAACTTGCCAAGATTAAAGACTGATGCTCATGAAGGGTGACATGCAAGCTTCGATAGTTGGATCTGTCAAATTAATTGATCTGGTCTATAGTACTCTAATCATACATACTAAAAGGTCGTGTCAGATGTATGTAGCTCCATACGGGGTGGGGTCAAGTATTAAGTTTTACTTTGCTTTGCAGAGAGATGGCTTTCATGACTGAAAAGTTTGTTACTTGTTTTTCATTTTTGACTACAGATTCGTTTTTGCTACATACCAGAGTATCAATTTTGAGATAAACATCCTTACTTGCCATTTCTGTTCATTGGATAAGCGCATTGTGTATGGTGGCCGAATAAATGGCCGTGGTCATTTTCAATAAATTGCATAAGCGTATTGCTAATATCAAGGTTGTGAAAATCAGATCGGACAACAAATCAGGAGTGGTTCATGGTTCGATGGTCCAATCAGGTTTAAACTAAAGTTGAATCGGATGATGTAATAAATACTAATTATATTAAAAAATTATATAATTTATGCAATAATGATGTAATCATGTGCACAAATATTAAAAAAATTTAACAAAATCATAATATGAAGCATAAAATACACATAATAAATAAATGCAGTCATTTTAAAATTAAATACATTAACTTTGTGGGCAACTGACCTCTTTGTAGTTGTAACTTGAATGATGAAATTCAAAGTTTTTTTCATAAGATCTTATAATTTCCTCCTCCAATTAGTGAAGCTTTGAAAATAAAATTAAGATAAGATGGTTACTATACTTGTACACTTATGTAGTTATATAGAAGAAAAAAGCAAAATGTTTTAATAAATTTCACATTGAAATTGATGAGGAGAACGGTTGAAGATTTCGACGCGCCTATCACCGGAGGAATCGTAGATCGATGGCTACTATTAAGAGTATTTATTTATGATGCATTTTATTCATTATTTTTGTTTATGTTTTAGTCTTTATCATTGTACCCTTGTGAGAGATTAGTTTGTGTTATAGCCTAGAGGGCATTTTAGTCTTTGTGTCTTTTGTTGTTTTGAGCCCTATATATGAGGAGCTTTTATTTGGTCCGCTGACCGGACGTAGAGCTACGTTCGGCGAGCGCTGAGATCGCGCCACATAGCAGGCGCAAAACCGCGGACCCGACCCGGCGAATAATGGGTTTGTCACACGTGCGAAATTTAAATCCATGATAACCCGACAACCAACCCATCACGGTATGGTTATATTTTAAATATATTCCTACCCTGTAGATTTTCATTTCGCTATACTAGATGCAAAGACGAAGCGACTTGTGTAACTATTCCTTTCCTTCGTAGTTCGATCGTAAGCATTTGCCATGAGTTTGAAGCAAATTTCCGATCGAATACCACCAGAGAAACAATGCCTGAGGTTAGAAATTTCTTCCGAAGTACTTTCATTCTTGTTATATAGGTAATCTGGTTAAAAAAAAAATAAAATCGTATTTTTAGGGTTAGGGTTTACTTACTAAGGTTCTTTTTTAGTATAAAAATTTGAATGTATACTGTGAGAACGTTTCAAATCAATCTGAGTTCATGAAGTAATGCTCGGTACTAATCGATATTCGGTATTCGGTGCTGGTCGGTACTATTCGGTACTGTTCAGTGCTGTTCGGTACTGCTCGGTACAGCGCGGTATTCAGAGTTAATACTCGGTATTTACAATAAATATCTTATTATTTTATATATAATATTTTGTTCTTTACTGCCTCGTACTGCTGGGTACTGTTCGGTGCTGATATATGCTTCTAGGTACTTCTTGGTAATTCTCGGTACAACTCGGTATTCAGAGTAATTACTCGGTATTTACAATAAATATCTTAATATTATATATATAATATAATGTTCGTTGCTGCTCGGTACTGCTCGGTACTGTTCGGCCCTGATCGGTGCTTCTTGGTACTTCTGGGTATAACACGGTATTCAGGATTAATACTCGGTATTTAGAATAAATATCTTAGTATTTTATATATAATATATTGTTTGTTGCTGCTCGGTACTGTTCGGTGCTTCTCGGTGCTTCTCGGTACTGCTCGGTACTTCTCGGTACTGCTCGGTACTTCTCGGTACTGCTCGGTACTTCTCGGTACTGCTTGGTACTTCTCGGTATTTGTCGTTTTTGTTAATTTTTTCAAAGTAAATACTCGGTATTAGGTTTGATATATTATGAAAATAATGTGTATATGTGATTGCTATTAATTAGGCTATAATGAATGATGCTCTTTCCGAACACTAAAATCATGAGAATGATCATATTGACAATATTTATCATATGCTTCCTTTTCAGAGTTGTAAACCCCATGTGAACAAATAATTCAAAGTATTATAAATTATTGAACCAAACAATTAATTCCGAGCAATACCGCAATGACTGCATACCGAGCAATACCGAGTTTTTTCGAAAATTATTTCTCGGTACACCTATTGTACTTATTTATAGCCTTAATAGAAGGTAGACATCATCGACGTAAGCAAACAAATAAAACGAGCGTACCGAGCAATACCTATGAATACCGAGCAATACTGAGTTATCTAAATGCTCGGTACAAACATATGGTACTTATCTAAAAGCTCGGTACAAGGATCTTATAAATACTGATCAGTACCGACTTATTCCGAGTAATGTAGAAATTTTTTATCTCGGTACACGTATTGTACTTATCTATAAGCTCGATACAAGTAACCTATAAATACCGAGCAGTACCGATTTATACCGACATGTAGAATTTTTTTATCTCGGTACACATATGGTACTTATCTTTAAGCTAGGTACAAAGAACTTACAAATACCGATCAATACCGACTTATACCGACTTATGTTGAACTTTTTTTATCTCGATACACCTATGGTATTTATCTATAAGCTCGGTACTAGGTAGACATTATCGACGTAAACAAACAAAAAAAAAGGAGCATACTGAGCAATACCTATAAGTATCCAACAGTACCATATGTGTACCAATCAATACCCCAACCTTCTCTATCGGTACGAATATGGTACTCATGGATAAACAGAAAGAAATGATCATACGTAGCTAGATTTTAAAAATTTATATTGTAAAACCTTTGTATAGATAAGAAATTACTTGTATGAAAACAGAAAAATATTCATCGACATTATAAGTGCCAAATGTTTCATCGAAATCGTCTAAGTCTTCCAAAGAAATAGCCGTTGTCTTCTCTTCCATCTCCTTGAACCCTTCGCGAAAACTTTATCTTCGTGCTGTCCTAAACACTGTATAACGTCTTCATATCATAATCCGCCAAAAGTTTATTAAACATATAAAGAATGCACGTGTTTTTAACTTTTCCTGTCCGTTTAAGATAAAGTACGTCGGGGCGACCCAAAATGGTGTAAAACACGTGATCAATCAACAAATCACAACGGGTTTGGGCCGGGTTTTCGGGCTGCTACGTGGCAATATATGA